TCCACTTGTTCCAGTGTACATTATAGTCGCTATATTCATAGTCTGGCGGATAGAATCTCGGGAACCAATTGAGCTGTCAAATAGCGGAACCAATCGAGCAAATCAAGACCAACAACAGAAATTCAACATCAGCTATTGCGAACAAAACTTCGGAAACCATTTTCTCGTGACTCAAAGTTGCCTACGCAAACTGACACCATCTTTGGGTTGAGGAAAGTTTCCCCTATCCGACGATGCTGGTATTTTGCGTTCGATTGGCGAGTAAAGAATAATCAACGTATTGTTTATAATAGTTGATAGTACCTTTTCAATTGTTGGTCTACAATATATTGAATTGGTTTCGCATTTTGGTAGATCAAAATTCTATCCGCCAGACTATGAATATAGCGACTATAGTGTACATTACCTCACACATGGTCGGTCACAACTTTTGAAGACCCTTGCTTCCCCTAAAATGCGATGTGTATCATACAGACATGGTCCCTAGAAAAACTGTGAGAATACTCGGGTTGTATATACGGCAAAGTAATCAAATGAATATATATAGAACGAATTCCGTGAACAGGATTTAGGATTTTTGCAGACCTCGTCATTGTTTTGAGTTTTTGCAAACATTGATCGGGTTCAGAACGACAATTCACCATGACATCACTACACTACCGTTCTTAAAAAAGACGGCAAATATCAAACCCAGCACCAGCACCGGCCATGTTCATGTGTCACCCACAGACTGTGGGAACCGCTACTGCCACCCGTTTGTTTTGCATAACCAAGTCAACCCGTTCGGCCCGCTTGATTACCATATTATTTGTGAGTTCATTATTCAATCTAAATATGAACAGTCAAACGACGCGGTTCTCTCGCTTGGCCTGCCTGGCTGCGTCTGGAATGAAGGCAAAACTCTTTGAACAAATTGGCTCTGATTGTTCTAGCTACTAGAGCTACTTGCGATGCTGGCTGCTGGTGCTGACCGGTGATGATGGCTGGCGGACGGCTGAAAATAGAACAAATCTGTTTTCTTGGCATAATTGAAAATTATTGCCACAGCAGACGGAATTGATTGGATTATATCCGGGGTGGGAATTGTTTTCTTTTCCAATTGTGAGTCAGGCTAGCTTCCAAACTAAAACTTTCTACACATAGGGAATTGCCGGTACTAAGAAAATTTCCGACACTTTAAACTTGTGCTGATTCACTAGTGCCGGTGAGCCTGTCGCTCATAATAATGGTTATCAGCATGATGTACACAGTTTTTGGAAGCTGATAAATATTGCCGCATCAATTGACGTCTAGATTTTCAAAGATAAGTTTAACAATTTTAAAACCATTTCAGCGTTTCTAGCTATAATCAATTACTATTAGTCTTGTTTTATAGAGATTTTAGGGAAAACAGTGCCGAAAAGTGACACCTAAGTGTTGTGTTCTTACACATTTTTTTTGAGAAAAAATGTATAAAACTGATGCTTTTACAGGGTGTCGACGCAAAGAAGGAAACTAAATTCCTTGTGAAGTAATTAAATTGGGTTGTTAGCGGAACGCTTAAATAAAACAACAAAAAAGATTATATTCCACAGAAAGGAGGAAAAGTAACTAATGATTACAAATGTAAGGAGGAAAAAGTACTAATGGTTCAAGACGCTGATAGCTTAGAATCATGCTCAAACATCTGCTCAACAGGCAACATTAATGTTTCTGGGGCTTGAAATAGAGCGCAAAAATCATGGATACTATGTTACACTGCGCAATACAGTGCTGTCTACAAAGCAGCTGCATGATCATGTCATAAGATTACCAATCTTTTAAATAATTGATAACTATTTCATTTGTCGGTTGACTAGTTAAAAAACGATCTTCAACGAAGTTGTAGCTTAGAAAATTTCGTAGAAGAATAGTTATCGAACTTTCTCTCAGAACAATATAGAAAAAGGGTAGATGGAAATGAACAACAAGTTTGGATTTCCCATGGTAATTCCCATACAAAATTACAATGGATTGTGCACAGACAATGTCTAACCAAACGACTTCAAATTTAGGAAGGCTTTTCAGGACTCCATTTGGCTGTGGAGAGAATATTACAAATTCTGCATCAGTCTAATGTGCAGTATTCATCATTGTCATTCCCACTAAAGATTTATCAAAATCTAACCACTCAAAATCTAAGTACCTATCTCCCAGGTAAACATGTCAAGATCACAGGTTTAAAAATGAAACTAAAACGGGCAGAATCGGAACCTATCTAACCTAACACAGATTAAAGTAAAGAAGAAAAATCTAGGCTTAGTAGCCAACATAATGAAGTAATGAAGTTGGGTTGTTAGCGGAATGCTAAAATAAAACAGCAAAAAAGATGTACAATCTTCATCAGTTGAAATCAGTGTTGGCTAAAATCAAGATCAGAAAATCAAAATCAGCAATCTTTCAAGATCATTCTTCTTCTTATCCTGGTCCGACATCCCTCAGGATTGCACCTGCATCACAATGTTACGCCAATTCACTCGGTCCGTAGCTTCTTGTCTTCAATTTCTTGACCGTCCCACACTTCCAAGATCCTGCTCCACTTGGTCTAACCACCTTGCTCGCTGTGCTCCTCTTCGTCTTGTACCGGCCAGATTCGAGGCAAACACCATTTTTGCGGGATTGTTGTCCGGCATTCTTAAAACGTGTCCCGCCCATCGTACCCGTCCAGCTTTCGCAACTTTCTGGATACAGGGTTCGCCATAGAGTTGCGCCAGCTCGTGGTTCATCCTTCGCCTCCATACACCGTTCTCACATACCCCGCCAAAGATGGTCCTAAGCACTCGTCGTTCGAAAACACCCATTGCTTGCAGGTCCTCCTCGAGCATCGTCCACGTCTCGTGCCAGTAGAGAACTACCGGTCTTATCAGCGCCTTGTACATTTAGTACGGTGTTGAAGTTTACCCGACCTCAGGGTCTTGTGGAATCCGTAGTAAGCACGACTTCTGGCAATTATGCGTCTACGAATTTCTCTGCTGCAGTTGTTATCCGACGTCACCAATGATCCGAGATACACAAATTCATCAAAATATGTGAACGCTCTGGCGTCTGGCAGTTCTGTTTATATATTTGTCGATTCATTTTTAGAGTCGGTTAAGTAGAAGTCGATAAAGTAGAATATTGAAGAATATTGAACTATGATGTCCAAAGCTATTGATATCTCCAAATGAGGCACATAGACTCCAAGTCCATAGTGTTCAGGCATAATTCATAGCATAAGATTCACACATGAAATGGATGTGTTTCACAATAAGCGCAAAATTAAGTGTGAGACACATGATGATGACGTGTGGAATTTTTTGAGTGTATCCACTTCCTATTTCATTTAATTAATGCCGCAGCCTTAAGTCCGAACGTAATTGTAGGTGAAGTAACTGTCTTATACATCAACTTTTTCTCAAAAATTCAATCATAGTTTTACTACTTCCTATCCTATTGTATAGCCTTTCTTTACGAAAGGTGTACGAAAACGGCAAACACTTATTTATGAATGAAATTAATCAACTCAGAGCTCTAAGGAATACGTTGCTTAAAAAAAACTCAGAGCTCTAAGGAATGCGTTGCTTAAAACTGAGATCGGTTACTACCAGGTGCATGATGACCTTTCGGTTAGGACTTAGACGGTGATCAACATTGTATAATTTAAATGTTAACGATGGAACATACTGGGGATCATCAAACAGCAAAAATATATAAAGAATTCATAATAAAATTTATCTCATCAAGGTCAGCCTCCGTGTATGGTAAACCATCAAAGCGGGGTAGAGACACCGAAGTGATGCACTTGAAATTGGCGTAGGTACCAGATTCTTATGAATCAATCTACCACTCACATCAGCACAATAATGCGAGGCCTGACCCCCTTTTCCTACCGGGTAAAATAGTGACGACTCAACACGGGTCGTAAAATACTTCCAAGTCATTTTTCTTTCGCTGGAGCCTTGCTTTGTTAAACAAAACAAACCTTACTAATCTAAAACCATACCGCGGCAAAGTGGATGCCTATCCAAAGACAAAACGATGCAGCCCATTCACTATAGTCAGGACTGAGGGAAAAAACTTACCATATTGTTGTTAAACATTGCTCGCAGTTCGTAATTGAGACCCACATTTTAGGTGCAAAACATCCACTACCCCTACAACAAAACTCGATCGAACCGGAAAATAGAAGCTTTAAACTCTAGGATGGTCAAAACATGAAGCAAAAATTTGGCATTCCATATGGACGTATAATGAATAGTTATCACGATCAGCTAGTTTAACGGGGTAAAGGCATAAAGCTTTAAAGTTTATATCACAGCTTGTGTACAACCCTAGCGAAATAGTGCTCAACTGAGCATATGCAATCGTTTTTGTTTTACCTCCACCAAACTTGCACATATGCATAAAATCGCTATCCATATGCACCTCATCGCCGTCTCAACATCGCTTGCATTCGTATTCCGTTCAAGCATAACAGTTCGCAGAATTATTCAAACAGGTAGTCTCATTGACAAATTTCGGAACCTGAAAAAAGTAGACACCGCGAAATATTACGTTAAGATGAAGACAGATCACCCGAATAAAGTTATCTATTGAAGTTCAATAACCAGACAGGCGACTTTGCCTGCCAAGGTTGGCAAATAGATATTGTTTACTGACACGTTTACCGTCTCTTGATCCACCGCCGCGAATGGAAGATACACGTCACATGTATCATCGCATATCCATGCCAAGACCACACCAAGCCGCGCCACTGAAACCTGCAACGGATCATAATTCAACGTTCAAGCCCTGTGGCTGCGGCGGCTCGATCTTGAACTCTAAATAGACGCACTATATTGAAGCTGTTATATAGTAGACAAGGCAGGTGGCTTAAATAATAATGTGCTATTGTTAGGTTGGCCATTTCCACTTACCCATTTTTGCCATTAATCCGTCCTTGATCTTAACCTTCTTCTTGTAAATAATTATAATTTTCTTTATTGTTCTTACTCCCATTCCAGTTGGTCCCTCGAGCTGACCGCGGCTACACTTATGACCCTGCACCCTGCAACGGACAACCCCATCTAGACGATGCTGCCGTGAGTCTTGAAAAACCAGATCTATGAGTGGAAATCGGTGGCTTCACTTGGAATCATTGCACTATAGTAAACCGACAGTAGCGGTTGCACGCCGTCACAGAAACGGAAGCCACAGGGAGGGACAACGCCCCCCTCCATCCGACGGGTTATGACGAAGCTCATTGTGCTCAACGTGCTGGGCACACTGGTTGGACCGTTATTGGTGCTGACGTTTCTGCTATCATCACTGGATAGCTGTGTAGGGCAGCGCGAATCGCAACTGCGGCTGGGGAAAGCAATCAACATCTTCATCCGGTATGGCTATCTGTCGATATCGATGAAGGTGATCTCGTACAATGATAGCGAGACGTGGCTGTTCAAGGAACCGACTAAAAACATTTTCAAGGTTGGTGATAGTTTGGCTAAGTTTAGAATAAAAATTTACAGTTCGACAGTGAGCATGCATAAGGGCGTAAACGCGATGGTCGATTCTCTTCATCGATTTTCTCTTTTGTTAATAACTCGCTAGATTTAACGTTTCTCGGTGCGTTTGCTATTGCTTTTGATAGCCAATACAACCTGTTACAACTCTGTATTGAACAAATTCTAGAAAATTGTTTCGCTGAGCTGTAGCAATGCAAAGAGAAAATCGATGAAGAGAATAGACCATCGCGTATACGCCATTATGCATGCCCTTTGTCGAGTTGTTGTTTCGAAACATTATTTTTCAATCAGGTCTACCATGTCATGAAGAAAATTTGATTTTTCACGCAATATGCTTTGCCCAAGAGCCCAAGTAACAGTACAATTTTATACAGGGTTTAAAATGATCGAAGGGTGCCTTGGCCGTGATGAGACGTGCTTGTTTTCTATTGTCGGAAGTCTTCGCGATCCTTTTCTGTCAGCGTTATCGCTGGTAGCGCTATGCCATGCGGCAGAATTTTCATTTAAATCTAATTTAAACTCCAGTTCCGTTTTTACGTATTCAGTAACCGTGTTATGACAGTAATAGTGATTAATACCGTAAAATCAGCTTGAAAAGAAATAGTCCCAGCTTGATTACTGGGACTATTTCGTGCCGTGGATTTCTGTTAAGGTGTGCAGTCCATTTTTCCATCACATCTCGCAATTTCTATAGCACACAACTCAAGATCTACGAGGTTTATACATCTGCAAATTTCAGACATTGCTTGCTTCTCTGCAGCAAACAACAAGTAGTAATTTCAGCTACGTGCATTCACAGAAACCTTGTTATTTTTACATGTGAAATTGCGAAGTGTAACACGAAAAAGGACGCTACAGGGAATCACCTTACCTCATTTGGTGAGCTCTTCCTTTATTTTTATTGTAATTGTACCGTAAATGATCTTTGAAAGCATTAAATACGCGTCACTACTGTTTGATTGAAAGTTGCAGTACATATTCAGCATATATAGTGTATTGGAGTGGGGCTTATTGTAAGCGAAAATAGCTTCAAAATTACTGCGTTCTTGAAATGGGCTATTGGATCTACGGTAGAGCTATCACCTTCTATTTATTTCACTTTGACTTTGATCGATTCTCTTCATCGACTTTCTCTTTTGATAGCCACAGCTTTATAAACAGATTTCTACCACATAGTTTGATAAAGGAGGTTCTCATCTGGTATCCAGAATGGCAGACGAATCAAGGAATGTGTTTGCAGCTGAATTATTAACGAAAGAGAAAGTCGATGAAGAGAATCGATCAAAGTCACTTACACCCCTTTCCTTCTAAACCCCTCATATAATATAGTTTTCAGGTAGGTTTTATCCATAATGACACAGCCAGAACCTAGCGTTTTCTCTTCAGAATTTTTGTTTTCACTATTTTTCCTGTTGCTAATGCGGTCAAAATTACTGAAAGTATCAAGAGATCGAATTTCTTACGAGTGCTGTATCCTGGCTCTACGCCACTGCGGTTTCGAAAGTTAGGAGGAATCTCCATCGGACTCACGACATCCCATCGTTCTTCGAGTTCACGTCACGTTGCAGCGCTGAGCCGTTTACATTTGGAGCAATAGACCACATGCGATTATCCTACATTTCAAACTGGAGAATGACTTCATTCGGGACATTTCAAGAGCTTGTTCTTGTGCTCTATTTTTATTTATTTAAACTCAATCTGTCATTCTTTTATGATTTAATATTGTAATTCTTTAAAATTTCAATCAGTATTCTTTAAAACTTTACCAAATTTAAATCGAGGAGCTCAACTAACTAAGTGGCTACCGCTTTTGCTTACTGAGGAAAAAATCGTGGGTTTACTCCCAGGCTCCTCTAAAATAATACAATTACTATGGGTCGCATCGCCTGCTTAAGCGAATCCTAACCCATCTCCTACCAAACTATTCAACTCCGTAGCATCTATGGGGGTGTCGGTGAGTCGCTGGCCTCCCGTTAAGTAGATGCTACATCAACAATATCCTTCCTTTCCCCGTAACGGAGCAGATGGGCGTGGCCGGCAATGGTAATTGTCATGCTTTTCATGTTCTGAACTTTGATTGGTGAACTATTCACTCCCAAATAGTTTTCCTTAAGCAACCAAAATAAGAACGTTCAAGTTGATACATGACAGTGGCCAGCAGGGATGGAAAATCATTTACATTCATTTCGTGCATTCATTTACATTCATTTGCTTCTAACTTTTCTCATCAACAGAATTCCATAAAATAGTATTTGAAGGTTTTGTAGGCTTTGATATTAGCTACATCTTTTGCAAACAATTCAAATCTGTATCTCTTATGCATGATTAATCAGAACGATAAGAACCCACTATTGTTTTTCAGTGAATGTGAATTGCATTCACTAAAAAACAATAACATGTTCTACCAGCTCTATTTCGTCATGCATAAGAGATAAAGATTTTAGTTATTAGCAAAAGTTGTAGTTCATATAAAAAGCTACAAAAGCTTTATGCATCATTTTACGGTATTCTGTTGATGAAAGAAGTAAGAGGCAAATGAATGTAAATGAATGCACCAAATGAATGTAAATGATTTTCCATCCCTGGTGGCCAGTATGCAATATACGACTTACTCCGTTACGCACGCAACGCAACGCAACTTTTATACAGGTTTTAAAATATTCTTCATGTCCACACCTTGGTCTAGGAGACCATGATAAACCTGAAATTGCTACTTGGGACGTGGTGGAGGCAAAATGGGCACCGTAAGGAAATCGGTGTTGTTAATGGTGAAAAATTGTGTATTCGAAGTATCTCTTTAGAAATTATATTAGTTAAACTTATGTATACCAAATAAATCTTTTTTTTATTGCGTCTGGCGAAGACAAATCGCAGTTACCCTTCAGACTGCTGCGATGGATTTCAAGCCCTTTCAAATTGATAAACAAAACAAATCAATATGTTACTATTTTAGCGAATGTATTTGTTGTGATTTATGTTTTCGATTTATCGAATACAATTTAAATGTTGAGTTGCGCGGGTTATAGAAACACTGGAAATGCACCAGTAAAACGGAACATAATAATGTGAACTATTTTCAAGTTTTTGGAAAAAATAGCCATTGCATTTTCAATCAGATTTCAATACTTTGCATCCAATTCTATCCTGCAGCAAAACGAAAATTGGTCTGATTTAGACAGTTCAAATTGGTTCGAAAACTATTATGGCTCCGCCAGACCCAGATTAGAACCAAAAAGTCTTTCTGCTTTTTTTTTCAATTTCAGGGGCGTTGGGCAGCACCGTACTCAGCAGGTGGCGAGTCTCTAAAAAAATCCCAAGGAGGTTGAAAAATGCTTCAATGTTCCTTGAATTGTCCCTTTTCTTTGCTCAACTTCTACGAAATTCCTTCAACTTCTTCCATGCTCCATAATTATTTTTTTCCAAGTTATCTCAATTTGACCACGATCTGAGAACGTGTATGTCCTTCTCCGAACTTCAGGAAAGACCTTGAACTTTCTCTACGAATTTTCCTAAACCACTTGGAGAAAATCACATAACTTCCAGTAAAATCTCAAATCAAACCCTGAAGTTCAAAATTCTCTGACTGTCTACGAAGTTCATTACGCTTCTACAATTTCGGCTGAACTTCTACGAGGTTCCTTGAAGGTAAATAAAATCCCAACACTCATATGAAATTTTCCGAAGTTCCATGAATTGGGTTCTTTAATTTTGAAAAATATATCGGTTTTTATATATCATCAGAAAGAGCTTCGTTTTCTGAGCACAGCGATATTTTTTTCGAACTCACACACTTCCATCTCGATTTTTAAATCAAGATTTAAAGCAAAATAATAACTTCACTGTTTGATACTAAACTGATAAACTGACACCTCGTTCCCATACAAAGTGACACCGAGGGGTGCTAATACGTTTTTTTTTTGCAAATGTGATCGTACTTATTTAAGATAGTTCCAGTGTACCAAAAATGATGAAATTTTGGGTTTGGGTTCCATTTTTAATGCAGATTACGAATATGCATTTACCTCAATACCTTTAAAGAACCCAATTGTTTGCTTGCCTTCTACCTAATTTTCAGAATTCAGAGTTCGCTACACTTCTTCAAAAGTCACTGAACTTGATAAAATCTCGATGTTTTTTCGGCGAAGTGAATTTTCACGGCATTTCCTGATTTATTTGAAGTTCATTAAACTTAAATGAAGCTAAAAGAATTTTTGTAACAGAATTTCCTAAACTTCAAACTTTTAAAAGGTTCCCAATTCTACAAAGCTTCCTCGATTTTTTTTTACAAAGCACCCTGAATTTCTTAAAAAAAAATCTTTGAAGCTTTACGAACTACCCCGAATTTTTATTAAATTTTCTAAATTTCTACGATGTCCCCAGAACAAAATTCTTGAAGTTTCAAAAAGTCTAATAAAGTTAAAAAAATCCTAAAGATTCATCGAAGTAACTCTGCTTCAAAATTCGCTTAATTTTTCTAAGGTTCGCAAAAACTTTCAACAATATGTGATGAAGTTCGACAAAGTTCTCTGAACTTCTATAAAACTTGCTGAAGTTAGTCAAGTTCAGGGGTTGAAATAGTTGACGTTTTTAATACACCCGCTTCGTAGTCGTGCACGACAGTCTGTTTGTATTCGTACACTCATGCTCTACTGTCGTCTCTCTCACACAACACAAACGGTAGAATAACATTCGAGCAAAAAGTAGAAGGGCCTGTGCCTAGGGGCACGAACGGAAGCTTGACGTAGGACCGCTAGTAGACGGAACAAATGTGAAGAGCATTTACTTCTTTTAATTGATCGATCATCTATTATCTTAACTTTTTTGTGTGTTGTACAAAGCTCAATCGAATAAACTTTACAGGGTCAAGTTATCATTTGAGTTTTACATAATTAATGTCTTAAATCTAGAGTTAAGGGAATTGAACCGATTACTCGCGGTCGTCTCGAGGTTAGTAGAGATTTA